TAAATGTTAAAGGTAGTATTTAGCTTCCAGCTGCCTGCAATTACTGCAAGTTCAATTCTCACCAGGCTCAAGGTTGACTCAGCCTTCCATCCTTTCTAAGGTAGGTAAAATGAGGACCAGGTTTGTGGGGGCAATAAGCTGACTTTGTATAAAAATATACAAAAGTATGAAGGCTATTGCTTAACGCCTTGTAAGCCGCCCTGAGTCTCCGGAGAAGGGCAGCATATAAATCAAAAATTAAAAAAAAATTTCTAACAAAGCTAACTTAGGTAAAGCGCTGAGATTGGATGGTTTATCAAGTGGATTCTATAACTTTTAAAGACCAATTACTTATTCCAATGAAAGATTTAATGAACTCTACTCTACAAGGAAATTCTATGTCTGATTCATGAAAAAATGCCTACATTTCTTTGATACCTAAGTATAGACTTCTGTGAAAAAGTACAGACCAATTTCTCTTCTTAACTATGACTATAAACTGTTTACATCCATTTTAACTGAAAGATTTCAAAAAGTTTTTTGAGATTTCATACATGAAGACCAAGTGTAGTTTTCTATCCAGAAGCCAATTAAAAGACAATGTGAGAGTAATCTTCCTTTAAATGAACATTTACAACATCATAGTGACTAACAGGTTGCCTGTTTTAATCTTCTAATCTAATCTTCTTAGATGCAGAAAAAGCTTTTGATAATTTCAATTGGAACTTTATGTTTAAAGTAATCAAAAAATGGATTTTGGATTGGGCTTTTTACAGGGATTGAAGTCCATTTATAAACTCCAATAAGCATGGATTATGATGAATGGAGATTTGACAAAACCATGTGAAATCCAGAAAGAACAAGACAGGGGTGTCTTTTATCCCCTTTATTATTTATCCTGGTACTGGAACTGCTAAATAGGGACATTAGATAAGATGACAGAGTAAAAGGATTACAAAGTAAAGCACATAAGTATAAACTTCGTGCTTTTGCTGATGACTTGGTTTTGATTTTGCAAGACCTGTTGAAGAACATTGAATATGTTATAAGGAAGATTAAAATATTTGGAGAAATGGCAGGTTTAAAAATAAATAAATTAAAGACAACAATATTGACTATGAATATGAATGTGGAAGAGCAGAGGAAATGGAATTTAAAATTGGATTAAATTATGAAACAGGTAAAGTATTTGGGGGTGACTCTCATTAATGCAAATTCTAATTCAAATGACCTATCTAGATCTACTGATATTTGTAGAAGATAAAAACAAGATAAGATAAAAAGAGAACAATTACGAAGTGAAGGATTTATTGTTGATTGGTTTAATTATAATATAAACTTTCAAAGATTAAACTAGATAAAAACTTGTATTTGCAGGAATTAAATCTGAACTGAATAGGCTTTTATGTTTTGGAGATAACTACGTAATTGCTAACATGTATAAAATGTTATTTAAGATGAATCTGGAAGATGAATTTGTTAAAGATTGTATAGTAAAATGGGCGAAAAACTTTGGCTACAATATAATTGTAGACCGATGGGAGAATATATAAACTAATGGTTTAAAATTTACTTTGAATTACAGTTTAATTTTTTTTTATAAGATGATATTGGTATTGAGATAGACTGTGCTCAAATATAGAGAGAGATTTCCAACAAGTTTTGGAAATGCAACCAAAATCCAGATACATTCTATTATATGTGGTGGTCCTGCAAGTATGCTAAATCATATTGGATAAACACAATATTGATAATGCAGAAAATATTTAGAATACAAATATTATTGAAACCTGAAGCTTTTCTTCAGGTATTATGAATAAGCCAATTGAAAAACCGTTTGGAATGTTATTTCTTTTCAGGGGGACATCGACAGTTGAAGAGTGGGATTGACTGAATTAGCAGAGATGGGAAAATTAACTGTTCTGATTAGAGACAACAGATTAGACAAATTTATAAGAGACTAGAAGCCATTTGTGGATTTTCTACAGGTTAAATACAATGACAGATGGTTAACAGAAGGATTTGAAGATTAGGGGTAACCTGTTGACTATTGATGTTGGGTCAATTTGATTATTAGATACATAGATTTTTATGGGATATTTGTTTATGTAATATAGTATTTTTTGTTAAATACAATGGAAAAGTTTATAACTATTTGTAGACCTGTTGTATAAGGGGAAGAGAATATATTAGATTTTTTTGTATCTTTCAGCATACAAAGGGGGTATGGGGTGGATTTTTTCTTATGTTTAATGTAGATGAATTTGATATTTGGCCTATTTTTCTTTTTTTGCACACAAGTTTTTCCCCCCCTTTTTGCTGCTAGTACCGGATGTTTGTTAGTTTGTTTCTTTTTTTCCTTTCCTTTTCTTTGTATTTTATATTTGGTGATAAAAGAATAACTTTTTTTTTTTAAAAAAAGAAGTAGCCTCTGATTAAAAATAAGCATTGTAGCAAATTCAATTCTGCTTAAGTGTTAATTCAGAAGTAAATAAGGAAAAAAATTCAAAAATTCTCAGTATTAAAAAAAAGGCTGGTATAAGTGTCACATGTACAAGAAATTGAATAGTTTCAGCAAACTGCAATTTGAAGGCATGAACATTGTACATGTTGGCCCAACTGTGCTGCTCTTCCTGAAATCATTAAATTGAGAAAAATGGGTAAAGGTAGGTTAAAACTATCATTGATGTTAAGAGAGGACTATGGAGGGTGAATTAGAATATCCTTACACATAAATTATAGTTCATCTAAAAATTAGGCAAATCATCCACATGTTAAATAACCACACTATACACAGGAGCTTCAAGTTATTAGCAAGCTGCTTCTTTTGGTTGGGAAATAGCATTACTCATAATTTGAGCTGCATTTAGGACAAAGTTCACATTAAAACATCTTCACAGAATATTTTTCCCTTTTCCTATTAAGTGATTCATTAACATAACACATGTGTTGCTATTTATTAGAACCCCTGTAATCAAAAGGCATTTGATAGTCATACCATATCTGTATTTATTGATTACTGTACAACTTAAGTGCAACATAAGCATGAATAGCAGAATGACAAAACAGATCATAAAGTTGCAAATAAAAAACAAACAAACCTGTATGAGAAATGGAGTCAATTGTGGGGGAAAAAGATTCTAGGCTGCTAAGGAGATAACAAGATCACTTTACTCTCTAGGTTAAAGGTTATCAGCAAGTTAAAGAAATGGTAAAAGTTACAAAAGTTTTACCTGTGGTAGAGAAGCGGGATGAATCCTAGCAGGCATTACCTTGAGCAACAGCAGTTAATAGTTTTCAATTGGTGCTCAGCCAAAGTTCAAACCTTTCAAAAATCCACCAAACACTAAGAATTTGTTATAGGTGTATTAGTAAGAAACAATTACTAAAATCTTTCATAAAATTTGGTTTTGATAAGCTTAAGCGTTGGCCTTATACCAGAATGAATGAGTCAGTACCTCACTCAAACTTAATTCTGTGCACAACTCAACCACAGCATTTTTAGGCAATCTATAGTAAAGAAAAGTTGGCCACATCTTCCCTTCCAACAACATGAGGCAGGACTCCTATTTATACTCCATACATATAACATACACACACACAAACACAACATAGGATGTAATATACTAAATTAAGATAAAGCCATAATAAAATCACTGTAATACGGAACCATAGAACTACAATGCAATAGATATTATAATGGGGTGTATATGGACCATATACCCCATATAAAGATGGGATTTGGTGTACAGACTACCTCCTCCACCAGAGTAAAACCTTGGGCAACTTTCTGTCTTAACAGAGCGGCTCACAGTCTATACACAGGGCGACCGAAATGGATATTATATAGAGGCAGCATTTAGACAACAGTTCTTTTAAGAACTGGCTGACCAAAAGGACTATTATATGTATAGAAATTACGTACTGAACGCTTCCTTGAAAGCCAGGAGTGAGTTAGTAGTAATAGTTAAAACTTTTGGGTTGAACTATTACTACTTAATAGTAATAGTTTCGGGGGGGGGGTTAACCATTACTAGTGAATAGCAACAGTTTCGGGGAGGAGAAACCTAACTCCTTTATTATTCCGCATCTGTCCAGAAACGGCTGTATCTTTCGCTACTCTTCTCCGCCCTGCACTTTCCAGGGGTCTCTTTTTTGGGGGGGCAAAATGACCGCTCCGGGCGTCGTTTCGGGACTCACTAGAAACGGCAATTGTTAAATTCGCCGCCTCCCTGAAGAGAGAGCTGCAACGGCGCCCGAAGGAGAAGAAGAGGGTTTTGAGCTTCTCACCCGCACAGCCGCCGAATAAAGCCGCGGAGCGAATAAAGCCTGCGAGCCGCACCGAGCGAACACCCCCATCGCCATCTTCCCCTCTCCGGTGGCGCTTCGGAAACGCCTCCCCTTCTCCGCAGTCTAAGAGACCGCGGGGATGGGGCCGAGGGGGCGGGGCTTGGCAGGAAGCCCCTCCCCCTTCCCCGCCCATCTTTTGCGGAGAAGAGCAAGCCACGCCCCTCCCCTAAAGGCAACTTTCTCCCATAGAAACTTTTAATACTTCGCTTAACTTTTTAGTTTAGTGCAGTTTTATCGCCGCGTTGGGCAAAGTCCCCCCTTATCGTCGAGCGCAATTTTGCAAACTTCACGTGCAGATGCGCCTTCTCAGCACTGAGATAAAGGCCGGTTTACAATTGTTAAAATATTTAAAAAAAACCAAAAACACACCCCAGAATAAACTAACCCCAAAATAAATGAATACCAAAATAATAAAATAATAAACACAAAATAATAGTAAGCTAACCCAAAAATAATAAACTTCCTTGAGTCTACTTTTAGTTAAAAAAAGTCTACAGTTTACTTTTTTCATTGATTTGCCTTTCTTCCCGGGAAATACCTTTTTTTAACCAATGACGAGTCACGTTCCTGGTACGGTAAGGAACCTTTTCCTCTCTCTGCCCATAGATGGCGCTGATCTTTCCGGGTTTTTCCAACCGAGAGATAAACTGCGCGCAGGCGCACTCTTCTTTTTTTGCTTCCTGGGCAAAGGACGTGGGGGCCCTTTTCTTGACTCGGGAAAGCGGCACCCTCGATTCTTCTCTAGGGTTAGGATGTGGAAACTGTGCCCGGCCGATGAGACCGGAGGAGGTAAGCAAGAACACTGAAGCGGGGGGGGGGGAAGGGAACGGTAAAGCGAATAAATCTAGACTGCAACACTCCGGATTATCCTTACGTGGTAGGACAAGAGAAAGTGTGCTGAGTGCTTTGGGTACCATTTAATGGTCAGCCAGACTTTTGCGGGTCAGATGATCGTATGGGTTGAGTTTTCATATGTGGAGTGGGTGGACTTCCTCCGGCTTGGCGCCTGTTTGCTGCTTTCTCTGTTGTCAAATTATTCTCCAAAGCACCAGAGGACTGGACAAGAAACAATGGTTGGAAACTAATCAAAGAGAGAAGCAACCTGGAATTAAGGAGAAATTTCCTAATAGTGAGGGCAATTAACAGTGGAACAGCTTGCTTCCAGAAATCGTGGGCGCTCCATCACTGGATATTTGTAAGAAGAGTCTAGACTCTAGGTAAGAGTCTAGACTCTTATCTAGTCTAGATAGGTAAGAGTCTCACCTATCTGAAATGGTATAGGTTCTCCTGCTTGAGCAGGGGGCTAGACTAGAAGACCTCCAAGGTCCTTTCCAGCTCATTCATACATACATACATATATACATACATACATACATACATACATAGTTGAATGTCTGAATAGGGTTTACTTTAGCATAGTTCATCCTACCAGATATCTCAGCCTTATCAACTTTATGCTGTAGCAGTGTTTCTCAACCTTGACAACTTTAAGATGGATGGACTTCAACTCCAAGAATTCTCCTGCCAGCTTTGCTTTGCTTTGCCTTGCTGGCTGGGGAATTCTGGGAGTTGAAGTCCATCCCCCTTAAAATTGTCGTGGTCGAGAAACACTGCTATGGACATCAACTCCTAGAATTCCCTAACCAAGATGCAACATGCATGAAACATTCTGCTTAGATGAATTTAGCAAGTTGGGTGGATGAAGAAACTGAAGTAGCGAGTTGAAGTTCAGACTTGTGCACCTAAAGTCAGCAAATCAAATTTATTTTGAAATACACTTTAATACTCCTTAATCTTGGGCTTGGAGTATATGAGAAAGGATGTGTGGATGTGCTCCAATGTCTACTTTTGGGAAATAATGCAAGAACTTTAAAAATGATCTAGATCTAATGGTCACTCAGAAGTGGAGATTATGATATAGAGATAGAGGGCTTTACATTGTTGGAGTAGTTAGCCATGAAAGAAATTTCAGTTTAAGTTGTGACCTAATGCAGGGGTGGGCAACTGTGGCCCTTTTACAACCTTTTATTCAGGAATTCTAGGAGTTGAAGTCCACAGGTTGTAAAAGGGCCACAGTTGCCGACTCCTGATCTATTGGATTTTGATCCCCCAGTGAAATAACTAAGTATTTATATGGCAGTGCAAAGTAAACTATCAGTGATTGCCACTTTGAAGATAGGAACAGAGAATTTGGAGCACATGAAATGTGTCCCCACTGATACTACTATTACTAGATTTGTCTTTTATGCGTTGTTTAACATAGAATGTAACCATTTCCTAAAATCTGTCCAGTAATCCATCCATTAGTTTTAAGAGAAATAGGCTGAGCATGCAAATGGTTACTAATTTCTGGCTCACCCAGCTAGGCAACAGCACCTAAATCAGGAGTGTCAAACTTGTGCATCACATGCTGGCCATGTTCATCTCCCCGGTTTAGCAAAGGGGAAAAAAGTCACAATACATCAAGTGACAACAATGTGACACCGCGAGTTTGACACCCTTGACCTAAATGCTTGGCCAGGAGGCTGCAGCTGTCAATGGGGACTTTAGTTTTGGCAACTGTATAGGTCTTCAGTGACAATGATGATTTTAGGAGACTGCCCAAACAACAGCTCTCTTTTTTCTGAAAAAATACAGCCCTATTTTCAAAATCATAAATAAAATTTATCCTGACAATTATTTTCAATATTTTTTCCTCTACCATCTTTGAAAGAACAAATACCCACCAGCGGCATCATTCTAGTTTAATAAGCATATAGGTCAGGGGTGAAATGCTCATGAATCGGACCGGATCGCCTGATCCGGTAGCGATCGCCGCCCGTGTGTCATTACTTCCTGGTTTTAACCATGAAGTAATGTTTTGTTACCTTCTGCCATGTACAGAAGGTTTTGTGCATGCGCTGGTGTGCGAACGTATGTGATGCGTGAGCACGCGAGCGAAGCAAGCAGGCGTGCATGGCACATGTGCTTCTGAACGGTAAGGAAGGTAAGTAGATTTCACCCCTGATATAGGTGAATTAGTCTTTTGTATATGGAACCATTTTGTTTTCTTTTTGTATAAGTGGGGAAAGAAAGTAGGAAACTACAGTTAGCTCTGTACAGTAAGTAAAGCCAAGCTTGACTCATGGTAACTTTATGGACAAATCTTACTGAGAAATAATATGGAAGTGATTTTACACTTATGTCTGGGATTGGTGGGGGGATTTTCCACTTTCCACTTTTCACTTTCAACCCAGGGATCACCTACTGGTCTTCCATCCAAGTACCAGTTAAATACCTATCTTTTTGAGATCAGTCAAGTTCATTTAGGTGCTGCTACCTAGCTGGACGATCCAGTGAAGGCTACCTGGCAACTGCTTGCAGGGATATCTTCTATATTTACACCTGTGTTCTGGAGTGTTCTCCCCTCTGAGATGCTTCCTATACCATATTTAGCTCCATCATTTTTAAAATGAATACGTTAAATTTGTTCTTATGTGTTAAGACATATTTAATTAGGTGCAGTTTATTATTGTATGCTCCAAAATGGCTTGGCATAGTACAAAATAAGAAACAATTAGATACAGCAATTTCAAAACTGAACCTTTCATTACAATCTTGTTCCATGAGATATCAAACTATAGTTGATAAATAGATGCACATCCAGTGATACACTAAATTTTGCCTTTATTTATTTAGTTTCAGTCTTTTAATAATTTTACACTGTACATTCTTACAATGAATGTTTTTGTTGCTTATGACCATTCTTAAAACTAACATTTTTCTTTAATTTCAGGACCGTTGTATCGGCTTCTAGTTGGTGTTGAGTATGTTGTTGGACGAAAGAATTGTGGAATTTTAATTCAAAATGATCAGTCAATCAGCCGAAGTCATGCAGTTCTTTCAGTTAATCATCCCCAAGTGAATCTTGTAAGTATCATATTCCTAAATTTTCTGCCAACTGTCTCCTGGGCAGTTATCCACTATATAAAAGCATGTTTTTTAAATTGAACTTTTTTTGACTTGGAACAAATAGAATCAAATGCATCCTGATGGCATTATAGAAAATATAGAAATCATGAAATTTGGATCTGAAACCACTGATAGAAATTATGTAATTTGTGTCATTTAGGCAACAATATTCTGATAGCTTGTTGCAGATGAATATGATTAATTATACCTCTTCAGTCAAGCTTCATTGCTTAGAAAAGTTTTTTACTGCAACATCTTCATATAAAACACTAACGACATAAAATATAAGCTTTCACTTTGGCTTTATGATTAGAAGCATTTTATTTTTCAATTTTTTATAGTCTTTGATTACCTCTGATTACTAAGATCATGGCATTTGGCCCTCTCAATTCATGGCATATAGATGGGGAAGAAATGGAGGTAGTGACAGATTTTATTTTCCTGGGCTCCAAAATCACCGCAGATGTGGACTGCAGCCAAGAAATTAAAAGACGCTTGCTCCTGGGGAGGAAAGCTATGGCAAATCTAGATAGCTTACTAAAAAGCCGAGACATCACCCTGCCAACAAAAGTGCATATAGTCAAGGCTATGGTTTCCCAGTTGCAAAGTATGGCTGTGAAAGTTGGAGCATAAGAAAGCTGAGCGCCAAAAAACAAACTATCTTTCTAGTTGATTATGCTTAAATTTCAAATACATTCCTTAATTTTTTATATATTAGAGATTAACATGGCTGCCAAGATAAGACTGTTAATACTAGAAGCAGATAAGATTAATATCTGCCTTACTTCTGATGTAAAGTATTGTATTGATTAATTGTTAAAGGGCAAAAAATGTTCCTATTTATCATCTACATATTTTCAAGGAAAAAATGTCCACTATAGCTGAAGTAAAGCTAAAGTGTGATTAACTTGGTTGATTTGCTGGTTTATCGTTTAACCAGAGGTGTCAAACTCACGGCCCGTAGGTCACGTGAAGGTCAGGTGCATCATGTGCTGGCCTGGCTCCCACCCAGTTTAGCGAAGGGGGAAAAAGTCCAGATACATCACGTGACGCCGTTTGACACCCTGGTGTAAATTGTGTATTGTGTATTGTGTCATTCTGAAGTACTATTAAAGTAATTGAGGTACGTGGGGTCCTTGGTGCTCTTGGAACTTGGTTGTGGGGTGGTTTTTTTTACACTCATAATGTTACATAATTTGGTAATGAAATGTCTACACGAAAACAACCAAGCTCAAAAGTACCAAGGACTCCACAATAAAAATAGTATTTTAATGGCAAAGAAATGGTAATGTATACATATGTAGAACTTTTTTTTTCTTTCATTCAGTTGTGTCCAATTCCTGAAGACTGCCTGGACAAATTCCTGCAGTTTTGTTGGCAAGACTTTTGGAAGTGTTTTGCCAATGCCTTCTTCCTAGGGCTGACAAAAAGTAACTGGCCCAAGGTCACCCAGATGGCAGAACTATAAGTCATTCTTTCAGTTTTTAGCCTAATGTCTTTAACCACTACATCAAACCGGCTCTTGCATGAAAACCAATAAAAACGAACCACATTAATGTGTAGTTTGATCTTTTAATGATGTTATTTTTTTTTAAATAGGAGGGGGTATATCTAGTAAATTGAATAGGCTTGCTATCTTTGAAACCTTAAATGCTATGAGCTTTTTTTGTATTTTCAGAGTCAATCTTCATCATTTCCTGAATTAACTTTAAAAGATACTTCAAAATATGGTACCTTTGTTAATGGAAAAAAGCTACAAAATGGTGATACCGTAACATTAAATACTGGTGACAGAATCACTTTTGGAGTCTATGAAAGCAAGTACAGGTATGATGGATTTGTGCTAATCTTGAAACAATTAAAGGGAAATCCACATGATAGATTATGGTTATGGATGAATTAAATGTATGAAACAAAATGTTCATAATTGTGAAGCTTATAGAGGACTGTATTTAGCTGATAAAAACAAACGTTCAGTATTCCAATTCTTTTAAATTAAATATAAAATTATAACCCTAAATAGGTTAACTTAGAAGCATATCTACTTCCACAGACATAAAATTTGGGACTCCCTAATACAAACCTGGGTGGGGATTAGGCAGAGATACTATACAAAAGTCCCAAAATGGCTCTCCACGGTAGAGGCATTGATTTACCCCAATAGGTGGGGAATGGAGAAACTGTGCAGATACAAAGACATCGTCGACGGAGGGGGAAACCTTAAATCAAATGATGCCTTGAGAGACCAAGGTATAACCCTAGATTGGTGGACCTATCTGCAAATAAAATCAAGATACCAGAAAGATAAGGATGAATATGGCTTAGAATTAGGATACAACGGATTAGACAAAATTTTGATGGGACCAGGGAAAAAAGCTTTGGCTAAGCTATATAATTACTTATTAGATGAAGACAGGGATGAGGACACAATCAGAAACCAATTGAGAGTATGGGAGAGAAATATTGGGCACAGCTTAAACTTTAACGAATGGGAAGAGGCGTGGAATAAAAACTATAAATTAACTAGAGCAGCCACGTACAAGGAAAACCACTACAAAATGCTCCATAGGTGGCATTTAGCACCTGCGAGATTAGCAAAGATGTTCCCCAATGTGCACCCAAATTGTTGGAAATGTGGCCATGGTCAGGGCACCTTCTTTCATATGTGGTGGACATGCCCCGAAGCAAAAAGATACTGAAGTAAAATTCGGAGATGGTTGAAAGACATAATTAAAGAAGAAATCGATTTGAATCCAGAAATATTTCTCCTGGGAATGGTAAAGAAAGGGTATGGAAAGGAAAAGGTCCACCTCCTAATACACATAACTACAGCTGCCAGACTGGCGTACGCTCAATACTGGAAAAAGAAAGACCCACCACCAGACCTTACAATTAGCAAAATATTAGAGTGTGCAGAGATAAGTAAATTAACGCACGAGATAAATAATGATGAAAATTCAGATTATGATACTGTGTGGGGAAGATGGTACGAATGGATAAATGATAGAATCAAGGAAAGAGTAAAAGGTGTAGAAATTAAATAGAAATGTATAGTATAAATGACACCAGATATTTTTCATATATTTATGTACAAACATTGCGAAACCAATGTCAAACAGAATTGTTATTATATTTTATGTATGTAAAAAAAATCAATAAAGTGTAGGAAAAAAAAAAAGAAGCATATCTACAGATTCAGCAGATCTTATTGCCAAATAAGTGTTAGAGCTTTACTAAGAAATCATCAATGAATTTGGCTGTTTTGGACAAGTTTACACTTGTCTCTGTTCTTCCTTTTTAAGGAAATGTTATGGAGGAAATTGGGGCTTCCAACTGCAGGTAGCCTTAGGGAAAGTAGATTGTTTGGACCCTTGGTGATCAGGGTTCAAGCTGGGATACACCTCATTATATTGGTCACTGTTGAGGATGACTTATGGAGAAACCAGTATAGGGGGAGTGCAGCCCTGTTGATCTTTCTTGATCTCTCAGCAGATTTCAATACTATTAATTCTAGTAGCCTCCTGGAGTCTACCAGGAGTGGTTGGCACTGTCTAACAGTGGTTCTCCTCCTTTCTGAAGATGTGATTTCAGCTTGTTTGGAGGGAGGAGAAATCTGCCCTGAAGCATCTATCTTGTGAATGCTTCTCTCTTCAATCTACTTCTTTTTAATATTAGGGGAGGTCATTCTCCAGCACAAAGTTAGATTTCAAGCTATATATCTCACCTCAGAGCCCAACAGCTAATGTACTTGAAGTGCTGGACCAGTGCCTAAAGAATGTCGGGATTTGATTGAGGAGGAGCGTATTCCAATTGAATCCTTCAGAGGTAGAGTGACTTGAGGTTTGTGGACTTAACAGTTCCATGTTTGACTGAACAGTTTCTATTCCCTTGTTCAGAAATGGTCCACAATTTAGGAGTTCTAGAATCACAGTTCCTGCTTAAAAAAGGTGTGACTAAGACGGTATTTGCAGCTATATATTGCTTGCCAATTGCACCATTCTTGAAATGGGAGACAGTCCTTCTCACAGTTGCTTACGCCCTAGTCAGTTCCTGTTTTAATTACTGTGACTTGTACATGTGGCTGCCCTGAAGAGCATTCAGAAACTACAGTTATATAGCATGTATCATCCTAGGCTGTGATGGATGAATCTTGATATTCTTGGATTAATCCCACAGCTTTGGAACCTGCATTGGTTGTCACTTGACTTCAGTGTTCTATTAAAGCTATTGATTGTCACCTTTAAGGCCATACCTGACTCTGGATCTGGACCTGACTCTGGATCTGGACTATCTTTTCCTTGTTTCATCTTCTTGTCCAACCACATCAAACAGGGTGAACTCCTTTAGCTGCTATCACTGTTGTGACCTAGGCTTACTGAGTCATTACAAGACACAATTAGTCCCAAACAAACCTATTTTATTGTAACAGCTGAAAATTACATTCATTCCCAGCTAAGTCCCAGTTAGTTGCAAAACAAGTCCTTCAGAAGAAGTCCTTCGGGATAATCACCAACTTTCATTTTCTTGACACCCTGCCAAAGGCCTTACTTGGCAAAGCCCCACGAAGTTCAGAAACAAACAAGAGATGCTGACTGGAAACAGAGTTAGCAGTGTTGCTTTCCTGCAAACGGCCCAAGTGCCTTTGTTTCTCTTTTAAGCCTTATGGGAGGGGCCAATCATCTCCTGGCCTTACTCCCGAGTCGTCCCTTTTGCTTTAGCTACTCTTGCTTTCTGGCAGCTCTGCATATGCATGCACTAGGAACAGGCTTCTCCTGTTCCTCTGATTCTCTGCTGTCCGACTCTGGGGGCTCTGGAGTCCATGCATCACTCCCAGATGACCCTGGCCCATCTCTGCCTCTGACACAGAACCCTCGTCTGGGCCTTCCCCAGACGTCAGGACTGGCCCATGTTCCTCCCCAGCCTCCTCACTGTCCAACTCTGCTGCCAGCTCTGCAGACTGCTGGCAGACCACAACAATCACTACTACTGTGCTATGGTGAGCTGCTTGGCATTATTTATAATCAAATTCTGTTTTATTGTATTTTGCAGAGTAAAATATGAACCACTGGTAGTGTGTTCTTCATGCTTAGATGTTTCGCAGAAAAATATTTTAAATAAAAATATTCTTCAGCTGGGTGGCCACGTAGTAAATGAATGGAATGAAGAATGTACCCATCTTGTTATGGTTCTAGTCAAAGTTACTGTGAAGGTGAGTGATACACAATCAAATGGAGGCATCCCTGAAATGGGCACGGAAAGGTAGATGGGGGAAATGTTTTAATTGCACTCTTACACAAGATTTTTTTGGAAGTAAGTCCCATATGTCGATCTGTGCATAGGAGTGTAGGCTTGGATGCCTAATAATGCATTTATTTGTTTGTTTGTTTATTTATGAAATTTATTTGCCACCCATGTCATACCCAACAACTTTGGGCGGCTATATATATATTTAGCATATGGCTAGTAATACAGAAAGGAAGAGAAAAGGAATATAATATTTATGGCGTACAGTATACAGCTGTCATTCTTTCTTGTTTAATAAATGATTTCTCTGTGTGAATAATATTAGGATATATTGACATTTCAATGTTAAAAATATAATTAACTTAATATAAACCATTTCAATGAAGAAATCGTAGAGAAGGTTAGATTATATTGGATCACCCAAGAGAAATGCACAGGGTATAAGGAGATGAGTGATTCATATGTATGATGTATGTAGAAGTTGAAGAACTGAGTGGGATGAGATAGTTAACAGAGTTGCTGGCACAGAAATCTCTTGTGGGGCGGGGGGGGGGGGCGGGGTCAGCAGTTTCAACTAATTAATTTAAACTAATATATTTTAATCAACTAGGGACATAGCCCAAGAACTATGTGTATTCTAATTTGAATCATACTTGATTACATAAAAATATTTTCCAGAATTTCTTGAGAAAATTTTCCAATTCAATTTTTTTCAGAAAACCCATATATTTAATAGTGACAACTGAAAATATAGGTGGTCCTTGTTTAAGCAACAGCCTAGTTTAGCAACTGTTCGCAGTTATGACATTGATCCAAAAAGACTGTAAAGCAAAGGAACTCTGAACTAAGATCTTATGCCCTGTTGCGATTGCACTTAGCAACATTTTGTTTAATGACTGAATTGCCAGTCTCAATTGTAGTTGCTAAACAAAGACTATTTATATTGATGGAAATCCTTTTGTAGCAGAATTTGCTGCTATATATTGTAAAATTAAGATACCGACTGGATGAAATAATAAAACAGTGCAAATTGTTGTAAAGTGATTACAGAATTTTATTATAGGACTTCTATTCCTTTTGTAAGGGAATCTCAGTTTGGAGTATAATTAATGAATAAGTTTAGAAGCAGAATGGTTTGTACTAGGCTGAGGAACCTGAATTAAGATCAGAGAGACTACATGTTTTGTACCACTATGAATTATTATTATAATTTTCCACTTTTGTTGTAGACAATATGTGCACTGATTTGTGGTCGACCAATTATGAAGCCGGAATATTTTGATGAATTTATCAAAGCCATTCAAGCAAAGCAACAGTTACCACTGCCTGAAAGGTAATAAATTCTAAGGTACATCCTCATTTTTAAAAAGGTTTAATGTTTCATCTTATAATAATCTACCAGTTAACATTTGCTGAGATTACATTCACTTTCCAAACTACTGAAGTATGCTTTGATTAAATGTAATTATCCAAGGTACATTAATCATGTGCTATATATTGATAGTACAGTAAAATTTTCTATATCAGGTTATAATACATTTTATCTTTTTTGACTGTGTATGCAGTTTTGCTTAATTGTATTAGATATTCATTTTACGTGAAATAAATTTCTATTATTATTTCATAAGAAAATAAGTTACATTTTCGTATTGATTATTTATGGCCTTGTGCTACTGAATGGCATTCTTTCTGCATTTCAGTATTTATCTAGGCAGGGAACAGTAAAGCATAAAAATATTAATTTAAACAATAGGCGGATCAGTAATGAGATCCATGTGTATCCTAGTATCTTTTAAGAATTAAAAGTCCAAAAAGCCCAGCTTCTTATATCAATGAAGCTCCTGGATTTGATAAACCTCAGATGATGAAAGTTCTACAAATCTAGGGTTAGTGAAAGATATAATCTTGATGGTAATGGAAGATGAAATTATCACAGGTTTTTATTTCTGGGTTTTGCCAAAGCAAAGAAACATTTCGGTCTTGTACACCCAATTTTAGTCTGGATTATCCTAATGAATGGATTAAATTAGAAGACAAGCAAGGAAGACAGCAAGTTCTTACTTGTCTTGATTTTTAAACAAATTTTTAATACCATTGAGAATTATATTTCTGGACTGTCCTTAAATTTGAGGGAGAGAACACAAGGATAAAGTGATTTTACTCCTATATTTCATTTTCATTCCAGAAAATACTTTTGTAAATTGAGGATTGGCAGATATATATGTCCTGCAGTGTTTCATCCTGACTTTAAGGAAACAGATTTTTTTTTTTAAAGTGTCTCCAAAGCAGACCACATCAATTAAAAAAGATGTATTCTGCTCTCAATTTAGAAGCTAGGTACTGTATATCCCTTGATGAACGTCCCCTCTTAATTGAAAGTGTGACATTATTGAAAGCAATATCCAGAGCTATGGACACGTAACTTTAATTTATTATTGTCTGTAAGCATCATAAAATTCTTAGCATGTAAAGTGTAAACATTTCTCCAGGGGGCACAATAAAAATAGTTCTGAGTTGCCTGGATTGTATTTCATTGTATTCCATGCTTACCTGCCCTATTATAGATTTCAGGATTTTACTCAGCTATTGTAGTCAGTTCCAATAGAAAAAAAACTGGATATCATCTATTTATTAATAACAGTTCTTTCTATAATTCCCAGTCAGTACTTCATGGAAACAGAAAGATTCCTCCTTATATTGTATGCTATAATTGTCCACTGAGAAAGTAACTTGCAAAACAATTTGATTTGTATTCTTGAACGTTGTAAGAAGTCAAAAGACTTAGCTTGTACCACCACTCTCTTTCTGGGTAAAGGTTATTGAACGAAGGGTGCATAATGTTTTGAGGACTAAATATTATGCCTTCCTGCTGTAATCTCTGGAAGGGCTCTGAAAAAGGCTGTTCTAATAGTAATTGAAATGGTCTGATCTGGAAAAGGACTATTACTGTATAAACTACCATTTAACTACCTATGACAATTAAAACTATGTTTCAAAGTTGGGTCAATCAAACAGAATAGTCCATTCGGATGAGAGAATGCTTCCAGTGAAGTTGGAATGGCTGAAGATGGATTCATGGGATTTAAAGGTTACAACATTTGACTTTGCAAACGTCCCCTTATCAGGCAGTCTCAGATGACAGCATCTGGCTGATCTTGTCTGGACTTAAAAGCTAAATAGGATTAACCCTGGTTAGACTGGTATGGAAGATAAGCAGATAATATCAGGCTAGACTGGAAAATTGAAGAATGTCCTGGAAAAATGCAATGGCAAAACATTTTTGCATTGCTGCCAAGTGAACAACATGGTTATATCCATGTAATCATTGGGAGTCTAGATCAACCAGAGACATCTTTTAAGTTTTTCACAGAAAGATGGTCACAGTTGTTTCTGTCTTGAGAATCTTTACAGGACTTCCATTAAAATAGTCATTACCTATACCTATATTCTCCCATTTTTTCTTTATGAGGATTTAATTATTACATAATTAAAACATTTTTCCTGGCCGTTACATAAACCACAGTGGAGACATATATTTTCTTTGTCATTTGCACTTATTTCTTATAACAGGCTGGATACAACTCAGCTTAATATAGATTTCAATTTGCAGCGTGTATATTACATTTATGATACAGGGCTATGTGCATTTTGGGGAGGCAACCAGGTATTTTCAATTATTATAAGAATATCATTGGCTTAATTTCATCAAGTTACTATAGAGATCTCTACAGTAATATCTTCAAGACAGTATAAGTCTTTTTAAAGATAGGTACACTAACAAAGATTTTAAATAATACTTTATAATTTATTTTGTGCAGTAAATAATATTCTCTAAAATATTAATATATATGTATCCAATCAATATTGTATTAATATCTTATCAGCAGAAAAACTATGAATTTAAATGTTACAGATTGGTCAGATTTGATAATTAAAACTGAAGGGTTTATTGATTGATTGATTGATTGGTTCGATTTATATGCCACCCTTCTCCAGAGACTCAGGGCAGCTTACAATGCATTAAGCAATAGCCTTCATACTTTTGTATATACCTGCTTAGTAGGGCTTTCGGCCCTCCCAAGCGGTGTTCTTTTTTATACAAAGTCAGCTTATTGCCCCCACAATCCGGGTCCTCATTTTACCTACCTCGAAAGGATGGAAGGCTGAGTCAACCTTGAGCCTGGTGAGATTTGAACTTGCAGTAATTGCAGGCAGCTGGTACTACTTTAACAGCACTTAGTCAGCTGCGCCACCAAGGCTCTTTTAAATATCACTACAGAGGAGCTCATATTTGAACACTTTAATTAAACTTCAACATCACATATCTTTTTTTGATCCACTAACTTTTCCTCTGATAAATGATATAGTGTGGGTACATCATGGAATCCCTACTAATATAATGATGAAGATGTTGACTTCTAGTTCACCATTAGCCACAGAAACACCTTGGATGGTTTTTGAGACAATCACTCTCTCCCAGTCTAACCTATCTCAGAGTGTTTTAACTGTGAAGAAAAATTGACTCCTGAAGAAAAGTGGGATATAAAGTAGTCCTCATGTTATGATTGTAGTTGGGCTCGGAATTACGATCTTGTACCGATGGTTAAATAGGTTACCACATGACTTTATCTGATTTTTACGACCTTTTTAATGACGTAAGTGAATCACCACTTAGCAGCCACCTAGAATCACTCAGTGGTGAGATGGGTGGCATTCAAATTTAATAAATAATAAATAAGCAAATACCATGGTTGTTATGCAAACCCATTGTCTGCAATGGGTAATCTTTGCTGGAAACGAAGTAATCTGAGGATTACGTCAAATCTGGGTCATAAGTAGTCCTGGGAAGATTCATTAAACTTGGAACGGTCGTTAAATAGGTCATAAACCAAGGACTACTGTGAATCTAATAAATACTTTTGGATATACAAATACTTGATGGGGAGTAATAATCTCTGTGTTTATCCTTTGTGTTTATCCTTGGGCATGTTTTAAGAACATGCCCAAGACAAAGGATGGTGCCAAATAGAATCTCAAGAAGAGAATGTGTTCAAGGTTTTTATATTATAACAGTTCTAAATGTTGAGGAAAGGCTGAGGGAAAAACTACTTTGTTTTTAAAGAAAGGCTTTCTTTATAAATAAGTTATGATTTTTTATAACAGTTTCCTCTGTTTTTAGATTTTTTCCACGAGTTGATGAACCAAGTATTGAGAATGAAAATATAGATCTGACCAAGTGTCCTAGAAGAAGAACTATTTTTAGAGGAAAATTTTTTATGTTTCTAACGGCAAAGCAGGTAAATGGCTCACTATTCAAAGCCTTGTCTAGCCCAAGGAGCTAAGTGGAGTTGGAATTGATTCGTATATGGATGAAAGACCACCAAAAATCCAATGATACTGTGATTTTCAGTGAGAGAAAAAAATCATGCCAGAGAAGGTACTTGCAATGTGAAAAATGCCAAGAAAACAAGTTGATGGGTTCTTTAGTTTTATTCAAAGCCTGATAAAGAATTAAGAGTATTCTTACAACAAAAGTTCTGTTTATAGTGTAGATTAGGGGTGTCCAACCATGTAACTTTAAGACATGTGGACTTCAAATCCCAGTTATGCTGGCTGGGGAATTCTGGGATTGAAATACATAGGTCTATAAAGGCGGGGGAGGGCCTTCTCTGTGGCTGCCCCAGCTCTCTGGAACCAGTTATCTCCTGAGGTCCGGACCACCCCCACTCTATTACCCTTCCGAAAAGCGGTGAAGACCTGGCTTTTCCCGCAGGCCTGGGGCCGTTGATCTCGCTGTTGCGATCCGGCCATGAATGGTGTGAATGGCTTTTAATGTTTTAATTTTTAAATGTTTTTATGTTTTTTTTTTAAATGCATTGCAAGCCGCCCTGAGTCTTCGAAGAAAGGTGGCATATAAATTGAATTAATAATAAATAAAATCTTAAAGTGCCAAAGTTGGACACCCCTGGTATAGATTACTTTTAGATAAGTCCACATGATATATTGAATCTGTTGAATTTTTTATTTGAGAAAATAAAGTAGTGGATTTTCAGCAAGGTTAATGTACTGATTTAATTGAAAACAACATTCCCCCTCCCTAATAGGAGGAGCAAAGAGCAAAGATTTCTGCAGATCTTTAGAGAGTAAGACCTCTAGTTTAAAAAAAAAGGATGCTCCCTTCATGTGAATGATGAGTGGGACTAAATTTTAGTGTAGGTTGAATGATTGTGGTAGAATACATATGTGATTACACCCAAAGACCCTTCATACAGACAATATGTGAGGTGTACACTCATTCATGTAGATTCCCCTCGCTGATGTTTTGTTCGAGTTTTGAAGAGATGGAACCAGTTTCATGTGAATGGACCAGAAATTATTTGAATAGATCTCATGAATATGTTCAAACAATTAAGTTGACCAAAGTTGACCAAAGCATATACTATTAAAATTTGATAGAAATCTAGATTTAGTTTGTGGTCATTAGAAAGGCAGGTAACAAATCCGATTCTGTAATAGATAATTGCACATATATGCTATGTATGATCTAAGACAGGGGTGGGCAACTGTGGTCCTTTTACAACCTGTGGACTTCAACTCCCAGAATTCCTGAGACAGCCAAGCTGAAGTCCACAGGTTGTAAAAGGGGCATAGTTACCCACCCCTGATCTAAGAGGAAAGGTTTTTAATTTCTTAGAATTCTGTCTTTGAGTTTCAGTCAGATATTTGTTTTGGTTTATTTAAAGTTACCTGTTGAGTTTCACTCATTAAATAAAGGCAAACAAACATTCAGTTTTTAAGAGTCCAGTAACAAACTGCCTGAACGAAAACAAAGATTCAGGACTTTTCTTATGATTATGACTTTGAGAACTTTTATGCTCTGAGCATGTATTTTTTGTTGCCTACTCATATTATTTTATGTACTATATGGCACTCAATTATTAGGGTGTATTAGCTCCCTATTTATTATCTATCTAGGTAGCAATTATAAGAAGGTATCGTTGTAGACAGAACAAAAGAATATATCACAACTGCGCCCAAAATTTATATTGCTAAACGAGACAGTTGTTAAATGAGATTTGTTCCATTTTACAATCTTTCTTGTCATGCTTGTTAAAAGAATCACGGCTGTTTGTTAAGTTAGTATTAAGTGGTTATTAAGTAAATCTAACTTCTCCATTCACTTTGCTTGTCAGAAGGTTGAAAATGGTGGCCACATGACCCCAGGACACTGCAACTGTCATAAATATGAAATTTCCAAATTTTGATCATGTGGCCATAGGGCTGCTACAATAGTTGTAAGTGTGAAAAACAGTTGCAAATCACTTTTTTCAGTGCTGTTGTAACTTCGATTGTTCACTAGAGGAATGGTCGTAAATCGAGCACTTAACTTAACATTTTTTATTGCAACTTAGGTCTCTTTTTGTTCTAATGTTTAGTTTTCAAAATGACTAGTATATTTATATATGTTTAAAAATTACACATTAATATCAGCTCAGTTCTTTAAATTTAATTTCATTCCAGCATGCAAATTGAGTTCAGCGATTAAGCTTGGAGGAGGAGAGGCAAGACTGTTGACTGACGAAACAGAATATGCTGCTGCTTTAATAACATCTAACACTTGTGTCATTGAAGTAGGATCTACAAACTCCCAACCATCAGTTTCTACTTTGGACACAAAATGGATTGATAATATCACAGCTGCTTTACGAAGGTGTGGCTCACTGTTTATAATTCAAACAGAATTGCTGAGTCATCAACATTTTGTGATATGGTGCAAAATTAAAAACAAAGGAAATATCCATCTTACACCATAGTTTATTAACTTGTGCAAGAAAGTACTATTTGAATTTGATTAAGGTTTTTTTCATTTCATTACACAAGTTTCTCCGAAGATTCTAGATTAGCTTTTACTGTATTTAGTAGGAATTCTGAAAGTTTTTGCTATGCAACCCACTATCAGTTGTTCAGAGAAATGTATTTTTACAGAAGAAAATTTTGAAATATTTTAAAATACACTTTCAAGATGAAACATCTGCTTGACATTCTAAGGTTCCATGTAACATAATAAGGTTACTGTAGCCTCCAAAACCTGAAAATATGTATTCGTTTACTATCAAGGCTTTGGATATAATTGTCCAATGTGAAATAGTAAAAAACCCCACAATTGGTTGATTAAAAGAAAGAGCCGTGGTGGTGTAGTGGTTAGAATGCAGTACTGCAGGGCTAACTCATTGTTTTATTCCAGGAGTTCAATTCTGAGTGGCTCAAGGTTGACCATCCTTCTGAGGTCAGTAAAATGAGGACCCAAATTGTTGGATGCAATATGCTGATAATGTAAACCACTTAGAGAGGGCTGTAAAGTACTGAGAAGCGGTATATAAGTAAGTAAGTTGTTATTGCTGTTAAGGGGTTGACCAGTTACAGGAAATCCTTTTTCATTTTTTCATGAGAACCCTTATGTTTGAAAAACCGACACAGTTGTGGATTTTAGACTTAAAACTACACATTAAAAAAATGAATTGATTCCCTGTATTTCAAGAAAGCATTTTAAAGAGTAGGGAAAGATCTAGGAGCCTACTTGAATATTTTTATGCTACTCTGAATTCTAGTATGGAAGTCTTTTTTTAAATGTTTTTTTGGATATTTTTAGATGAATGATACTTTTTTTTTGATAACTCGTTTTATTTCTGTTAGGAAGAACTACAGAACAATCTCAGAGGCAGAAATCGGTTTAGCGGTTATTTTTGCATCTACAGAAAAATACTGTAATCCTCAAATTTCACCCAGTGGAGGTAACAAAAATACTTTTCCCACTTCGTTTTTATCTTTTCTTATTACTCTTTTGTTTAAGAAATTGATATTGAGTCAATAGCACTAGGGTGACTGTTTACCTGTTTTATTAAATTCCAGCTGGGTTTTATTTTTAAATATTGTAGTACATGAAAGTAATTTTCCTCTCCCCCCTCCCCCCACCAAATATTACTGTCTTTCTCTCTTCTAAATTTTTTTCATGAATTTACTCAACAAATTATGCCTAAGCAAATCATGCTTAGCCTAATTTATAAAAACAAAATAAAAGCATTTGCATTTTATTTCTAGAATGTAACCAGATGGTCCTTTTTTCTGTGCTTATGCATTGTGTAACCCCCTCCAAATACTTATGAGAGCAGCACACTGAAATTTACTATATATAGCAAAAAGTGAGTTTTGAATTACCAAAACCCATCAGCATTGACTAATCTCAGAGAGAATTTCTGAAATAATTTCTAATTTCCTTCCACATAGATTTCTTTTTGTTACATCTTTTTGTTAAAATGAAACTCGAACTTTTTTTTAAAGACTCAGGATGCCCAGCAACAGTTATAATCTCATCAATACATTAAAGTCATTTGAACAAAAAATTCATATATAACTTCCTTTTTATACAGTAAAAGTAATTATTTGCTTTTTCTCTCTTTTGATAAAATATTTCAGAAGAGGGAAAATGTTAAAAGTTGATATTAAAAAGAATATTTTAATGAATAGTTTCCTAATAAAAGATGTTGATGAATAAAGCCTGTTAGCCCAAGATTTAATTACAGTTCAGATATAGCAGCAGCTACTCCTACTATTCATGTTATCCAGTGGTGGGATTCAAATTTTTTTACTACCGGTTCTGTGGGCGTGGCTAGGTGGGCATGTGGCCAGGTGGGCATGGCCAACTCCACATCACCTATGTTGATGGGCACCTCACCGGCCCCTCCCATCCCAGCCACTCCTTGTCACACCCGGCCTCAACATATCTATAGCTCTGTAAAAATGTTGTTCACCATTTTTTGACTATTATCTGCATCTACATACTATAGATGTACTTTCATGGACCACTGAAAGGAGGAAATGGCTCACATGCTTTGCCCAAGAATGGATAGGCAGGTCACAAAACAGGCTTTTGAGGGGATGCCACAAAGAAAGGGGGGGGGCGCAATATATTTTCCAAAGAAGCAGAAGGCAAAACAAGAAGCAATAGATGGAAACTGAACAAAGAGAGAAGCAACCTAAAACTAAGGAGAAACTTCCTGACAGTGAGAACAATTAACCAGTGGAACTACTGTCTCCAGATCTTCTGGGTGCTTGATCACTGGAAATTTTTGAGAAAAGACTGAAATGGTATAGGGTCTCCCTGCCCCAAAGTCCCTTCTAAGTGTTATTCTGTTATTCTGACACCTTTCTCAGGCTCTCCGTTCAGATTTTGGTATCCTCAGTTTTCCTGCCTGAGCAGGGGCTTGGACTAGTAGACCTCAGAAGTTCCTTTCAACTCTGTTATTCCATTATTCCTGAGAAACACACACTCTCTCTCTCTCTCTTTCTCCCTCCCTCCTCCCCCCCCCCCCCCCTCTCTCTCAATTTAAGCAAATTCCCTTGTTTTGGAGACTTTTGAATCAGAAGGTACCCTGGAGCTGTGGTGGGCTGCAAATTTTTTAACAACCATGACGTCCCCTGCCCTAATGACTGCCTGGGTGGGCGTGGGCAGGGGACGTGATAGCACTCAGCTTCCTGTAGCACTCTGCCAGTCAAAATGGGGCATGGGGGTTAATTACAAAATGTGGGCTTTGCTTTGAGACATCCAGACCCAGTGAGCAAGGGGTGTGAACTGCACAGAAAAGACACTTTTGTTTGGTTATGAAGAAATATCCCCAAAGTCAGATGTACACTAAATGTAGAGTGACTTTTAGCTACATATCTTTCTAGCAAATAGCAAACTTTGAAGCTCCAGGTAAAGAGGATTCGTTTTAGGATGAGTAACCACAGTTGTTTGCATGTTGGAGGTTCCTAAAGGAAAGCTGGGAAACTCTGCATTTTAAAGAACATTTGAGGGAGGGGTGCAGAATAGCCCTTCTCTGGCTGAGGCTGAGCACCAAGGACCCCCACAGTTCAACCCTGAGCTACAAATATTCTCTTCTATCGATAAACACTTTTTGGTTCGAGGGACTCAGAGCCAGGGGTGGGTTCTAAATTTTTTTTACTACCGGTTCTGTGGGCATTGATGGTCATGTGACAATTCTTTAGGATTTAGCAGAGGTACTGGTCTACCAGGCTTTTAACTGCTTGCAGAGCTGTACCGGTCTACCCATTTATTTTTGCAGGCACCGGTCTACTCATTTGTTTTTGGAGGCACCGGTCTATCACCACACTGCCTTTTAACACTGATCAGCTGTAGGGCGGCCCTTTGAAGCCCCGTGGCAAGAGTTTAAACAGTTTTTTTCCTTCTAGCCGATCAGCTGGGACTCAGGAGGCAGCAATAGATTGGGGGTGGGGCCAAATAAAAGGTAAGAATAATGCAGGAGGGGCGGGGGGGCAGAACCGGTTCAGTGACATCATATTGTCACTGCTACCGGCTTGGCGGAACCGGGGGAACCCACCACTGCTCAGAGCCTGCCTTATATGAGATGGCTCCCAGTGGATTTCATTCTAAATTTTGATATGATTTCTGTAAATAAGGAATGTAGAATTATAATGGCTATTTGATCCTTCATACATCCAAAAAAAAAATACAAAGCTAAGGGATAAACAAATAAAAAATAGATTTGAAAAAAGAAAAGGCTCAGGAAAGAAAAAGAGTGAAAGTGTAAGAAAGAAAGAAGGAAAAGAAGGAAAACTGAAAAACAATGACTTCCAAATTACTTTGGTACAGATATAAGTACAAAATATATCAAACTCTTACTCTAAGATTAAAATTTGTCGACATTATTTCCATAATCCCATATCTAATCATCAAAGCACAGATCAACTTTTAATTTCAGTTTCTTACAAAAAGTCCAGTAATGGTTTATATTGCTTTAATTACTATTTTTTAAGGAAACCATAACTGATACACTTTGAAGCATTGTGAAATACAATCTGATCAGAAACAAGAAATTTGACAAGCCTAATGTACAATGCTTGATAGTAGCATTATAAAAAGACTTTTCCATGAAATGTTTAAACACTCAGAATTTTTAAATCTGGCAATTATATGTCAAAAATGGCTAAAATGATATGAATACCTTTGAAACATTGAATTCTCTGATATGGATTTCAAGAACTACAAGAAGACAAAACTACATTAGTTGTTCAGTGAAGTCTCATTCTAACATTAACAAAAGGCTTCTCACAGACTCTCAAGCAAATATAAAAACTTGCTGGATTTGTGATTATTCCCCCCTATATTGGAAGCTGTTCTTCTGCTAATGGAAACAGCTATCTGTTAACATAGGTACGTTCTAAAATTTTAGCAAGTACCGATATATATTTTTTGGAACCAGTAATAGCTGTATTTTAAAGTCATTGCACTAGGTTTTTACTATGGTAATAAAACCACTTTAGAGACCACTGTAGGGTCTCTATATAGCTGTAGGGATTTTGCTCCATTAGGAATTCTGTTGCCTTTTTTTCTGCTTCCTTTCTGCTGTTCTAAGAAAAATCAGTTAAGGAGTAGAGCTTTAGAGGATTTCACCACTGGAGAGAAACTACTCTGAAGAAACAGATTGATTCTCAATGAATATTCACTTTTCTTTTATCAAAACAAATGTACAATTTGCTACAAAAATCAAAGTTTGAATATAAATGATTTAGTTGCAAATCAGGGACATATTTAATATATCTTTCTTTTATATTTTTAAACATAATCTTAATAGGTTACATTCATGCTAACTTAATTATCTTTACTTCCCACTGAAAATAATGGAAATGTTAATCATGTAATTTATTTTATTACTTACTTTTTGAAGATCTTACTTTTTTGAAGATCTCCAGAGGTCCAGAAGAGGCTGACCCACTGGCAAAGAAGCCAAAGTGTTTTATTCAGATGATGGTGAAGCTGTAATAATGTGAAATCTAAAGAAAACATTTTCACCAGCTTCTGAGTAGAACACTCAGTAAAACACTTCAAGGGGGGGGGGCATGTAGAAGCAGCAGCTTCCTACTTCAGGGATTGAGGAAGCAACAGCAGCAGCCAATGAAAGGGGAGGTAGCTTCCTTTGTCTCATTGGGCTGAAATGCAAGGCCCTTGTTGATTGGCTGCCACACCCCATCCCTGAAACTGCTCATTCGAACTAGTCGATCAGCAGCAAGCAGACTGAGCCCAAACTAACCCTGACAAGACTGGGTAAAAACTAAACCTGCAGGTGGGGAAAGCTGTTTTCCTTACATCTCACGTTCTTATAGCTTTACCGGCTTCTGAATAAAAGACTTTGGCTTCTGTTGTGACTCCGACTCCCGAGCCTGTCCTCATGGAGGAAAAGAACTCAGAAGGTGAGGGGAACTGACAAGGCCTCCCTCTCCAGTGGGAGGCCTCAGGTTCTCTGGCAATGCCTTATGTTCCATCCGAAGGCCAGGAAGAACAGCCTGGGATGGGCCAGGAGGAAGGCATTTCGAAGCACCCATTGATAGAAAGTGATAATGATGAATCCTGGCTTGATCCCAGGCAGCGTGGGAGGGAGAAGCGTGTGCAGCAAAGGAAGAGGCGTGGGAGGGCCAGGGATTGAGCTGAGTCACTGAGCCACGCCCCACAAGGGATAAAAGGGGGCATGATTGCTCGGCAGGCTTTGTGACGGACAAAAGTTTAAACTCTAAAGAGTCACATCGTGAATCCTGCACTTCGGCTCAGATATATTTTGGACTAAACTCTTGTGGATAATTTCTCGCTCTGGAAACGGACTGCAGATAAGGCCTCTCCTGCTTTTGGGGAGTACTAATTGGACTGGGCAGGCGTTTTACAGTTAGCTGCCAGAACTCTCGTCTGCCAGGAATTTTGGTCTGTTTATACAATAAATTATTGGCAGGCATGTTTGATATTGCATTTGTCTGTGTGAGGACTGGGGACAGAACAGCTTCTCTACCATGTGGCTCAGCCTCTTCTGCAGCTCTTTGAAAAGTAAGTACAGTAAAGCCATGGGAAATGGGGTGGGGAGGGCGGTTCGGGCCCAGGAACTCTCCATTTTGGCCTGTAAGAGGCCGGGGGAGCCGTAGGAAGGCCCTGTAACAGGCCATTCATGCCAGCAAAGAGGCAAAGGAAGGCTCACCAGACAGGCAGTAGCTGGGCTGCGTCGGAGGCAGCAGAAAATGGCGAAGGAAGGCTCAGCAGGGATCTCAGCCACATGGGAGACCGGGGTGAAGGCAGGCAAGCTGGCTGGCCCGCAGAGACCATGTGGTTGAGGCAAGTGAGGGAGAAGCAGCAGCTATGCCAGGTGAGTGGGCAAGATGAAGAGTGAGTGGGTGGGCAGGGCCAGCCAGAATTTTTTGCTACAGGTTTGCCTGAACCTGCCTGAACTGGCTGAATCCCACCACTGATGTTATCAAACTGGTAATGCTGTAAGTTTCATTAGATATCTTGCATATCTAATCAAAGATAATTCAATATATTTTATGAACAAGTGGTGGTTTGAATACAGACCTTCATGTGGAATGCTAGAAAATAACACTGTCATTGTAAATTTATATTCTGAAGTTTATAATTTTCCTCTTTTTCCAAAATATATTTGTCTTTCTCTCTTCTAATTTTATTTCACAAAAAAATGCAGAATAAGTTTGTGCCTTTTGATTGGCAGCACTAAGCAGTGCCTATCTTTTTAAACACCATTTAGTCCAGTGGAAATTATTGCATTTACTCGAAGCCCATTATTTGCCTGTGTTTAAGGTCATAAAACCATGGGCTGCATAACATCTGCATTATCTGAATACCTCCAGGTATTACTATTAACTGTTACCTTCTACGGATGCAGATATGAAGCTTGCTATGATTTACAGTAATAGCAGTGGACTTTATTATTGATGTTCTGATTTATGTTGGGAACCGCCATCAGGCTGTGGGTTGCAAATACCATAATTTGTTAGATCTTTAATCTGCCTTTCCTTCAGGAAGTCAAGGCAGCATTAAGACACTTAACATATAGAATGAAAACATCACTAGGAATAGTAGGAATAACATGTTTAATATTTTTTACTTAGTAACTTGTAGACATTCCATATTCTGTAGAGCAAATATGAGTGTAAGTATTGTAACATAATACTGTATATAAAAATAAACATAAAACCAGAATTATATGATTTTAATTTGCATAACTGATGAAATGGTTGTTCATTTTACCCTCATATCTAAATTGCAGATATAAAAACTGCTGCCCTGGCATCCCAGGTCCCTGAACAAAGTCAGTCTCAGAGTGTGGCAGTGGAGGAAACAATAATGCCTTCCAACCAAAAGGACATCAGTGCATTTGTAGCTGACACAGAAATGGATGAAGTGATGGACACATTACTGTAAATTTCATTCTGAATTTTTTTTTTAATTGCTTCCAAAACTGTAATTTCTTACCTCTTCAGTAATTGCTTATATACCGTGTTTCCCTGAAAATAAGACCCTGTCTTACATTTTTTTTGAACCCCGAAATAAGCACTTGGCCTTATTTTCGGGGAGGTCTTATTATTTTGGGGCATGTGGAGCAAGATGGAGCTCCTCTTGCCGTCTTACCTGATTTCCAGCTCCGCGTTTAAATATTTTCGGGAAGGGTTTATTTTTGAGGAGGGCTTATTTTCAGAGGGAGGCTTATTTTAGTGCATGTGCTTAAAAGCCCAATTGGGCTTATTATCAGGGGATGTCTTATTTTCAGGAAAACAGGGTAGTGTAGTGTAGAAACTTCTGTGAATGGACTGGACTGGACTGGACTGGACTGGACTGGACTGGACTAGACTAGACTAGACTGGACTGGACTGGAATGGAATGGAATGGAATGGAATGGAATAGAATAGAATAGAATAGAATAGAATAGAATAGAATAGAATAGATTTAGTTGGAAGAGACCTTGGAGGTCTTCTAGTCCAACCCCTTGCTCAGGCAGGAAACCCTATTCCATTTCAGACAAATGGTTGTCCAATCTCTTCTTAAAAACTTCCAGTGTTGGAGCATTCACAACTTCTAAAGGCAATTTCAAATGATTGTTTTAACAATTAAGCTGCTTGTTAAGGAGAATCTAGTTGCATGGTTCATTCAACTCAAAATCACTTGGCTGAGATGGGCAGTTATGAGAAAGTGAGTAAATAAATAATCAGTCAATGGTGGATGGATATCTAAGTATATAATGTATACTGTGCTATACATGCATAGGAATTGGTTGTTGAAGTTAGTTATTTGCAGCAAACGAGACTTTTTTTTTTAACCAAATAGCAACCTACACTTAGTATGTCAACATTAATTGCAATGGAATATTAATTGGATTATATTTAAATACATGTATTTTATTCTGTATTTTTATATAGCCTTTCCACTCTAGGCAATGAAACAAAAGTTTTAATTGTTTTGACATATCCAATCTTCTTTGAAATAGCATGCAAACATACAATCTTATATAATAGCCTTTTTCTCATATTAGATAATAGGAAAAAGATTAAAATCAGCGAGGGTCAGTAAGGAGGCAAAAGAAGAAGGGGCCGACAGAGGTGGCTGGATGGAGCAATAGGCATGAGCTTAAATGGACTCCAGAGCAGGGGTCTCCAACCTTGGCAACTTTAAGACTTGTGGACTTCAGCTCCCAGAATTCCTCAGCTAGCAAAGCTGTCTGAGGAACTCTGAGAGTTGAAGTCCACAAGTCTTAAAGTTGCCAAGGTTGGACACCCCTGCTCCAGAGGATCATAGAGGACAGAAAGGCCAGGAGAAATGTTGTCCATGGGGTCGCGATGGGTCACACACGACTTCGCAACTAACAACAACAAAGGAGGCAAATTTTGATAGGGATAAGACTTCAAAATACCACACAGTTTTGTATTGTGTTAACATTTTCTTAGATGTCAGGACAATTTAGAATTCTTCAGTTATTTCCAGGACTCCATGGATTATAGTTCAAGGAGTGTGCTTATCTCAGTTTTGATTAATATTTTTTTCTAATCTGTTCGCTTTTACAGTATAGAATTATCACAAGAGGAAACAAAGGCTGCAATCCAGTCACAGGATATAATGATTGTTAGGGAGACTCCAGAAGGAACAGGCCATGGAAACCGAGAGAGAATCTTGCCCCATCTAAAGAAGACACACGGAGCTGACTTCACCAGTCAAACATGTTTATCTTCTGAAATTTCAAGTCATAACAGGAACAGAAAGGAAGATTCACAGCAACTCAGTTCAATTAAAAATTACTTTCAGGCCACTGTTAAAAAAAGGTACAATAATTCTTTTTCTCAGAATTGAGTCACAAGGGTTTAAAAAAAAGCTTTCTTTCTTAACCTTTATTTTTATGTTAGCTAACTTAGTTCCTAAGGTCTTAAAGGGAGCTGTTATTTTATATTTATTCCGATAATGGTTATTACAGGGTGATCCAGGCTTGGTAGAATTTAGAATTGGTCTTGCTTATAAAGCAGGATTAAATGTAAACACCTCCTTATCTTGTTGAAATATCTATAGGTTCTTTAACTGTACCTGTTCAATTATCTATTATTGACTAAAAAGATATTTTAAAGTAAGGCCAATTCTCAGTCTCTTTTTTTTTTTCTATTTTAAGAGAAAGGAATGAAAAATTAGAAACACCATTATCAAAACATGCAAAGATGGATAAGAAGTCATCACAGGTTTCCCATCAAACACCATCTGTACCTTTTTTGCTACGGGAAAATAATGTGGATTCTCAAAAAGGACAGTGTGCAGCAACACAAAGAGTAAGTGTCTCAAACATGGACTCAAAAAAATCTTCAATAGTGGAAAATAACAAGTTAGAGCAAACAGGAATGGAAAGTATCCCTGTTGAAATGCCTGCATCAAAGAAGAGAAAGAAAATAGAGGAGCCTGTGGAAGATGAAGCTTCATTAGAACTTGTATTTGCAAGCCAAGAGTTGGATCCAGAAGAGAATATAGGAGTTCAGGATGAAAATGCAAAGAAGAAAGTGAAACTGGATCTTAAAGAAACCACTTTAAGAAACAAAGAAACAAAAATAGAAGCCACTAGATTTTTGGTAAGACCTGCTTTTCCTCATGGGATCTATTCACATATTAGGTCCTTCAAATTGCAGACACTTTACTATATTAATCAGTTAGCATTTACATAATTTCCTTTCATATATCCTCACATGTAATACCTTAATTTTGTTCCACAATGTAATGTAACTAGCAATCACAGATTTGCATTCTGGGAAAGCACACAAATGCATATACACAAAATATCACATTGTGGTAATTGTCGAGTAAATGTAAGTATCTTAAATCACAGTAGTACAGTCGAATGCAATATTTCAAGCATTTTTTTCTTGAATTCATGAGCTTAAGTGTCGGCTGATTCATGATTTTCTAAAAATGCTTGTGGACTTTTAAAAAATATTATTTAAAATAGGAAAGATTCTTATAATTATTTTTCAGTAAAATATTTCAAGGTCGTGGAACCTCACAAGGTTAGGGATGATCAAAATATGGGAAGCTTTAGAAGGGGTTTGAATGCATTCATAGACTATACTAATGGCATCAATGGTTATACTTGAATTGTTTCTACTACTGGGATCAGTGAATCCTGGGTTAGTAAAAGGAGGACGCTCTTGCTCTCTTAAGTCTGCTAGTGGGTTTAATAAAAGTAAATGTCTGCTTATTAGAATAGAATAGAATAGAATAGAATAGAATAGAATAGAATAGAATAGAATAGAATAGATTTTTTTATTGGCCAAGTGTGATTGGACACACAAGGAATTTGTCTTGGTGCATATGCTCCCAGTATACATAAAAGATAAGTTCATCAAGAATCATAATCATAATCATCATTATTATAAGAAAAGAGTGCCAGGCCTGAATAAGCTTGACTGTTCTCATGTTTATGATATAGTTGCAACTGTAGCAATTTTAAATCAAGTTGCTAATGAATGAAAGGTAACATTTTAATATTATCCTTTAAAAGTTCAAGAGTCTTGTCTGTAAAGTGAAGAACTAGGAGCTCCAAAAATGGAGAAAGGAGAATGATGGTTATACATGAGCTACATGAAAGGAATGCTATTGGGAGCATAGGGTGATGACTCACACATTAGAGAAGAGCTGCAGAAATCCAGGTTAAGTTACATCCATTGGTGGTTGTACAACTTTTAGCCAGTTGCTTTTAGCTCAACCTACCCATAGGATTAGGTGTGAACAAAATGGTGGAGGGAATACTATTTATACCCACCGTGACCTTTTGATGGGAAGGGGATATGAACCTAACTGATAATCATAGGACTAACACAGATTTTGTACAAATATATACAGGTAGTCCTCGACTTACAACAGATTGTTTAGTGACTGTTCAAAGTTACAACGGCACTGAAAAAGTGATATGACCATTTTTCACACTTACGACCGTTGCAGCTTCCCCATGGTCAAGTGATTTACATTTGGATGCTTGACGACTGGTTCATATTTATGGTGGTTGCAGGGTCCCAGGGTCATGCCTTTTGTGACCTTCTGACAAGCAAAGTCAGTGGGGGAATCCAGATTCACTTAACAACCATGTTACTAATTTACAACTGCAGTGATTCATTTAACAGATGTGGCAAGAAAAGTCATAAAATGGGGCAAAATCCACTTAACAAATTTCTCACCTAGCAACATAAATTCTGGGCTCAATTGTCGTCGTAAGTCAAGGACTACCTGTACAAATATATCTTTTTGTTAAACAGGAAAAAAATGCGGAATCCCTTCCAGCAGAAAACCAGAAAGAAGAAATCAAAGAAGAGCCACCAGAACCTGTAAGAAGTGACTCAGATCTAAGGAATATATTCATGTTTATCTCAAGCTACTTCACAGGGTTATTGTGAAAATAAAATGGCACAGCTGTTTATGGTGCCTTGAGCTTTGGAGGAAGGTGGGATGTAAATAGAAGAAATAAGTTTAGTAAAAGGTGAATATAGAAGGAAAAATATTTTAAAAATAAAAAAATGCTTAAAGTGTTAAGCAAAGCTTTTTAAATAACTGTTTCTTACCCAAAACAATATTGGTGGTAGCGTTAAGAAAATATGTCATGTGCTTTCGGCCTCTTTTCCTCTTTCTTGCTATTAATTGAGCAAACCCCTTACTAGCATTGATGATGTTTCCTAGTTTGGGTATTGAAATATCTGCAGGAAAACAACCAAGCTTAGAGAGCACCCTCATTTCAACCCTGAGCTACAAATATTCTCCTTTTTTTGGCTCTTGTTATTATTCGTCAGGCAATCAAACAGTAATTATTCCACTTGAGAATTAGTATGAAAGGAGATCCATTTTGTTTTATTTTTCATAGGGACTGTTGGAAGATTTAAAAAGAAAATGTCTATTAGAAAGAAAAAGTTGAGACTATTAGATCAGAGGTAGCTAATCAAGAGCCTGAGGGGTTACACGTAGCTTCCCAAACCAGAAAGAGTCCCTAAATTATACCAACTTAGATGGTTGCTTCCCTTTTTGCATCTAAAATATGTAATATTTTTATCTTCCCAATTGTCCAAAAGATCAAGAATTGTCAGAGTGACTTTGTCACAGAATGTTGATTTTTTTTTTTTAAAGTGGGAAAAAACCTCTGTGTATATTAGATGAATTATTTGTCAGGAAGATTTCATAGCACATGATTCTTGTATCGGTTCACATTGTTTGAATTTTTCATGATAAAATGGGTTTAATTACAAAATTTGGGGAAATATTGACTTAAGGATATCATCCCCAGAGTAGGGGGAGGGCATACAGTATTTCTGGTAATCTCATTAAAGATAGAGAAGTTTTGATTAGAGTGCCTTTACTAATTGCTCTTCCTTTCTCTCCCTTAATAAGAATTCAAGTAAATGTGGAGATGTTTCAAGTTATCTCCCTAGTAAACTTTTGCTAATGGAATTTAGATCTTTGGTTGTTACACAGCCAAAGAAAATCAATCCTCCAGCAAATTCAGACTACGGGCATCTGAGCAACTTTAAAAAATTTAAAAAGGTTTGTATATTGTAACAAGGGAGCCTTGTTCAGAATATTAAATTTTAAGAATGTTTGTTTAATCCTGTTTTATGCCTCTCTTGATTTTGCATGTGTGCTATTAGTAACTTTTAAAAAGTATTTGCATCCTTTTGTATTTTCTGAATGTTTGCATATGCAAAAGCATTTTGAGAGATTGCTGTGGGTACTGCTCACATATACAGGAGCTTTAGTGAACAAATAATATCAAAAATTGGTGTCTGTTTCTTTCATTTCATAAACGTGTGTCCAACGTGTGTCAGTGTGAAAAAGAAATCTTCCACAAGTTCAGTTAGTTCAATTAAAAGATACGTTGTGTGAGTAGATCATTAGAAAATCAAGGCTGAAATTATTCAAGATGGAGCTATATTAATCCCACAAATTTTTGCTTTCTTCATTATGGTGAAGTTCTTACCATAACAATTGTAGAGATCTCACTCAAAGAAATTTCAGGAGTTTTCTGTTTCTTTAAAAAAAGGCATTGTATTGCTTACAATGCAGAATATGTTTTGGGACTCAGCTGATCTATTGTCAGAGACACAGTCCTGTGATGAAGAAAACTTGAAACAATAATAAATCTTCATAGATGGTTTTGTCCAAATTACTCCAAGGGTACAGCATAAAATCATCCCGGAAGTCATTAAAAAAAACCCCAAACCCTCCAGAAATTTTCTGGTCTTTGTTTCCTTGACTAAAATCTGTAATTCTACCACCAAAAAAAATTACAGATAAAAATGGGTTCAGAGGAGATTACCAGGGTGGAAATCACTGTTCACTAAGAAAATTGCCAAAGAGCATTTTGACAGCTGTCAGGATAACTAGATAATTTGTTTAAAAAGTATAACTTTTGAGTCATAGATTAATGCTGTTATATATGGCAGAAACCAAGCACTGCCTACTACAACAAGCACCTAATACAGGTAGTCTTCAACTTAAAACCATTCATTTAGTGGATGTTCAAAGTTACCACACCACTGAAAATATTGATTTATGATCATTTTTCCCACGACCATTGCAGCATCCCCAAGATCATGTGATCAAAATTCGGATATTGGCAACAGGTTCATATTTATGACAATTGCAATGTCCCAGAGTCATGTGATTAACTTTTGCGACCTGACAAGCAAAGTCAATGGGGAAGCCAAATTCACTTAACAACCATGATACTAATTTAGCAGCTACAATGATTCACTGAACGACTGTGGCAAGAACGGTTGTAAAATGGGGCAACATTCACTTAACAATTGTCTTGCTTAGCAACAGAAATTTTGGGCTCAATTGTGGTGGTTAAATCAAGGACTACCTATACCATTTATCACGCTTGGAAGTTTTTTTTTCTGATGCAAGAAGTGTTTGTGATATATGGGAAACGTGGTTTAGAAAACTTTCCTGACTCAGAACCTGGATGATTTACCATAGCAAAAAAAAGCTTTAAATCAAAAGTTTTACTGGAGAGTATTAGGCTATCTATCTGTCTATCAGCTGGAGCTGAACTATACTTTTTTCAGAATATAAGACTCTCCAGACTGTAAGACGCACCTACCTTTTTAGGGGAGGAAAACAAAACAAAAAAAAAATCTGCCTCTGCCTCCCAGCAATTTGCCTCGTTGCAGCAAACAGCAAACAACCTGCTTTAGTTTCATTTTCAGCACAGCCTGATTAGCACAAGAAAAAAATCTGCCTCCCAGCAATTTGCCTCCTTGCGGCAAACAGCGGAGGCCAGCGTAGCAATAGGCAATGGCAATCCCTGCAGCCTGAAACAGCTGGGGGTTGGGAGGCTGATCCAACTGACAATCAACTGCTTATGCTAATCAGGCGGTGCTGAAGCTGAAACGGGCTGTTTGCTGCTTGCTCCAAGGAGGTTGTTGAGAGGCAGAGGCCAAAGGGTGGGGGCCAGCGGGTGGGAGGAGCTACATTCAGTGTGAAGAGCCTTGGTGGCGCAGCAGACTAAAGTGCTGTTAAGTAGCACCAGCTGCCCTCAATTACTGCCAGTTCAAATCTCACCAGGCTCAAGGTTGACTCAGCCTTCCATCCTTTCGAGGTAGGTAAAATGAGGACCCGGATTGTGGGGCAATAAGATGATTTTGTATAAAAAGAACACCACTTAGGGAGGGCCGAAAGCCCTACTAAACAGGTATATACAAAAGTATGAAGGCTATTGCTTAACACATTGTAAGCCACCCTGAGTCTCCGGAGAAGGGCAGCATATAAATTGAACCAACCAATCAATCGATCAATCAATAAAGATGCATCCAAATTTTCATCCTCTTTTAGGGAGAAAAAAGTGTGCCTTATATTCCAAAAAATACGGTTAAGTGAGTAATTCAGCAAGATAGTGATCCCAGACTAACAAGCAGGTCTACAGGTGTTTTGGAAAGTTAAGTCCAGGCCTAAATCTCATAGGAATTTGTTGTAGGGCCAGGAGTTGAGCAATTCATACTAGAAAACCTTGAAATATTATTGCTTAAAACGATTCAGCTTGGAATAATGGTCCAAAATACATATACGATGGCTGGTGGAGTGATTCATTTTTCATCCTGGCATATGTTATATTGAATTACTTTGTTTAAGAAATAAATGAGGCAAGGACTAAATTTGCATTTATTTTCTTCTGCTTTGCAACCATGGGCAGTAATTAATACTTCTGTTCACACTGATATGCCTTTTTTTCCTGGATAGATAGCTTATCCTGGGGCAGGGAGGCTTCCAAACATTATTGGAGGATCAGATCTGATAGCTCATCATGCTAGAAGAAACCCTGACATGGAAGATTGGTTAAGACAAGAAATGGAGGTAGGAAATACAAACATTTTTAAAAATCTAACATAAACACCACTGACATTATTAGTGCTTAAAATACACACACACACACACACACACACACACACACACACACACACACACACTGTTTCTCCCCAAATAAGACATCCCTTGATAATAAGCCCAATTGGGCTTTTGAGCGCGTGGCAATAAGGCCAAAAAATATAAGACAGGGTCTTATTTTCAGGGAAACACAGTATATATATATACAGTCAGGTCCAGAAATATTGAGATATCGACACAATTCTAACATCTTTGGCTCTGTACACCACCACAATGGAGTTGGAATGAAACAAACACAATGTGCTTTAACTGCAGACTGTCAGCTTTAATTGTGGTGGTGTATAGAGCCAAAGATGTTAGAATTGTGTCGATGTCCCAATATTTCTGGACCTGACTGTACATATACATAGTATTTACCTTAATTATGCTCCCACAACTAGACTAAGCTGAAAGAGAGTTTACAAACCCTAAGCTCTGTGGTTCGGTGGGGACTTAAAACAACCCTCTAATTTAGGGTCACTTTTTAAATTTATTGATAATTTTGTTGAACAGAAATGTTACGAATATGTCTTGTGGTTTAATGACGGCTTAGACACAATATAGCTCTGTATTGTAAGTATGTATATATGTATTTTGTAAGCCAAGAAGAACAGTAAGTGAATGCCTATAATAAAATAGTGTTTTAAATAAATCAGGAATCTCAGACAACATATGCTCAGAGGCTAGATTAGTTCTTGAGTGTGCCTGATCTAAGCACTCTCAGTGCTGTTTGATACAGTGTTCTCTGAGAAAATAGCAAACCTCAACTATATAGAAGATGCATGAATTAGATTGATGTTTATGTGCATGATTCTTAGAGACATACTTGCTGTGATTAAGAGTTCTTAGGAATCCATTTTATTTATTACATTTATATGCGATCCATCTTGCTATCCAAAGCAACTCTGGGCAGTTTGCAATGCAATAAAAATATTTATAAACATAAGAAAAATTAAAATTACAAGACCTAAATAACACACCTTAAAAAACTATAGAACTTGTTTTTATTAAACCCTTATTATTTCTGGACACAGCAGAACATTGAGTGCAATTATTAGAGTCTTTCATGTACACAACATGCAAGGATGGCATGTTGGCATAGAAGAAGAGGTATTGTGAAAAATCAGAGGGAGCTTATATGATCCTTCCCTGTACCCCCTCCCTTCCTTAACCTCAGGAAAAGCTTGATATTGCCTAGGTTTGCAGTAGGAAGGAAAGATTGTGAACAGAAATAGCATTGTGGTTGTACAGCATAGGATATCATTTATGAATATCTCTATTTAAAATTGATTTTAAAAATTCTTGCTACTCGTTCTTAAAGAAACATTCATTTTTTTTCTAGGAGCAGAATTGTCAAACAAGAGAGGAGTCACTTGCAGATGATCTGTTCCGGTAAGAAATTTATTTTTAATAGTGGAGTCAGTGACACTTTTCTTCTGAGCAGTTTAGTAAAATGGCACATGATTCCTGTATTTCTGATGATCAGCGTTATATACGGTAAGTAAGTTTGCCTATGTAAATAAATACATGAAATGTGTGTTGTGATCTAGGCTTCCTGAGTCATTAAAACACACGAGTAGTCCCAAAAACCTCTTTTATTGCAACAGCTGTGAATTACGTTCATTCACAGCTGAGTCCCAATTAGTTGCAAAAAGTTCTTTGGGAGAAGTCCTTCGGATAATCGCCAACCTTTATCTCCCTTGACATGCTGCCAAAGACCTACTTGGCAAAGCCATACGGAGTCCAAAATCAAACAGAGATGCCGACTGGGAACAGAATTATCAACGTTGCTTTCCTGCAAAGGTCCCACGTGCCTTTGCTCCTCTTTTAAGCCTTATGGGAGGGGCCAATCATCTCCAGGCCTTACTCCCGAGTTGTCCATTTTGTTTTAACTGTTCTTGCTTTCTGGCAGCTCTGCGCATGCGGGCACTAGGAACAGGCTCCTGCTCCTCTGCCTCTCTGATGTCCGACTCTGGAGTCCGTGCATAACTCCTAGATGGCCCTGGCCCTATCTCTGCCTCCGACTCAGAGCTTTCATCCAAGCCTTCCCCACACTCCAAGACTGGCCCGTGTTCCTCCCCAGCCTCCTCACTGTCTGACTCCACTGCCAGCTCCGCAGGCTGCTGGCGGACCACAACAGTGTGAAGCTGTTTTTTCAAACCAAACGTTTTTGACCATGTATGTTTTTAGAAGGAAACTCTTGATTATTATTTTTTTCTTACTGATTGTCTCTTAATTTTTGGTACCAGTTTGTTCTCCATTAAGTGAATTGGGACTTTAAACTTCTATAACTATTCAAATATCAGAAGAGAGGATGCACCTGGTAAAGATAATTCCTTGTATATCAATTGACTGGCTAGCTAAGTGGGATTCCACACTATTCCAGAGTATTAAAGCAGTTACCATAAATCGTTTTTTGTTCTGTTTGGAATTTTACATGTTCCTGGACAATGGATGGGTGTACTGTGGAAAGATAATATTGAATTATGTTCAGTGTTATGTTGAAATTATGAAGGATATAATATATGAAACTTGGAATCTCATATGTTAGATTCAGTGGAAAGAAAGAGTGTGGTTTAATGTTATGTGTTTACATTAGCATCAGAATAGTTCAGTATTAATGCACCTGAATATAAGAACCTGGAGGTGGGGTGAAAAGAGGGATCAACCTAGAGTCCTTATGTAGCCACAAGTGAACTAAGTCCAACCCTCCTTGAGTGCTGTTGACCCTTATCTAACTCTAAGCAGTTAGAGCAGGTTATTTTCAACCATTTGTTGAAAAGATTCTTGTGCATAGGCTATAGCAGTGATGGCTAACCTTTTTGCCATCGCGTGCCAAAACTGGGGGGAGCACGGGGGGTCACGCATGCGTGTGCTGACACCCATAATTTATGCGCCCCACCCCCCAGGCATGTGCGCGTGACCCCTCCATGCTCCCCCCGCTTTTGGCACATGATGGCACAGTGGGCCCGGTAGACCCTTTTTTCACTCTCCCCAGGCTCCAGAGCCTTTCTAGGAGCCTGGGGAGGGCGAAAACGGCCTTCCCCACTTCCCCGGAGGCCCTCCAGAGGCTGGAAATGGCCTGTTTGCCAACTGGTGGATCCAGAAGGCCTGAAAATCAGTGTGCTGGAGCTGAGCTCATGTGCCCATCGATATGGCTCCGCGTGCCACCTGTGGCACACATGCCATACGTTCGTCATCACGGGGCTATAGCAATTAATCAGTTTAATTGAACTTTCATGTGTGGACCTGGTATTTTTGTTCTTTTACGCCAGAGAGCACCCAATGTGACCAGCCTGCTTGGCTTCATCATGTTGGTCAAACAAATATTTCAGGAGAAATATTGATAAACTTCCGGTGCTTGTTTACTGCCATTGTATTCAAGCTTCTGTTTAATGATCTCAGAGATTGCTCCAGGCTTCCTGTTTTGACCTGGTGACAACTTTGTAAGATTAGTTAGGCCATACATTTATGGTAGGACTGAAGTCACCCAGGATCCTTTATGGCTTATATAGGAATTTTAATAAGTAACTTGTTCTACTGTAGTCAGATTTCCTAATTGCTACATTACTCATCTCATTTAATATTTTTGTAGGGTTTCTTGTTACTTCATAATTGTCTGGTTTGTTCGTCAATTTATTTATTAAACACAAAATAAGTTTTAAAGATTTCTTAAGTAATCTATATTTACATACTTTTTCTTAATTTACAGATATGATCCGCGAATAAAAAGAAGATAATTGTACCTCTAAATGCTTGCTAGTAATAAACTGCAGTATCAAAGAGTTACTTTATAATCAACCACATCTGCTGAAAATGTGACTTTTTAAAAAGAATGTTTCTGTTTATAAGAAACAGAACTTGAGACTAGTCCAATTAGTGATGGATCCAAAACTAGCCAATTTTCTTGTAGGCTTTGAAATATTAACCCAAAGGAAAATATTCAACATCTAGTCTGAGCCAGAGAGGAATTTTATGTTTCCTGCATTTGCATAATTTTCAAGCCTCTTTCAACCTTGTTACTATTTACTGAAATCCTCCCACCTACATTTGTGTTGCATGTCGGGTACAAGGAATTGTGGGAAATGTAGTTTTCCCAGCCTAGAAAATCCATTGAATAGCACTGAAAACCTTGCTTTCAGTATTTCCATTAAATACACTGTTGTAGCGTGTGGTGAAAACTAGTGGATGAGGGAAGGTCTACAGAGCTGTTCTTGGAGTAGCTAGAAAGTTTAGTGAGAGAGGCACAGGAAGAGACAGATGATTCTGAAAGTATTGCCATGCACCTATAGGATTGTGGGAGCAAGATACTGTATTGTGCTGATGATTAGAGATTTCATCTAAACAATCTTGGAACAAATCTTGAAAATATCAAGCTTTTAGTAGCATTCCAACATAGGAAAGTTATGGTTTTGGGTTTTTTTGCTGACCAGGAGTTTGCTTGTTGTCAGATACTGAACTTAATATGTTTTATGCCTTTAGAATTCCATTTCAAGGCACATTTTAAGAACTTTCTATGAAAGCCTTTGTTTTTATAAAAAGAAATGGAGATACCACATTTTTAAAAGGTAATTTTAAAGTTTGTGTTTAATTTATGCATTGCATAAATTAAACACAAAAGATGTGTTTATAGATGTATCTATTTATAAAAGATGGACCTTTTAATACGTCACACTTATTAAACACAAGTTTAAACCAGATGTTACAGACTAGTCCCTGTAATATTAACTACTCCCTTAACTAGTTCTAAGAAAAAGATCCTGATCCGGGAATTTGAAGTAGGATGTGCTTCAAATTCCTTTCACAATGGATTTTCAGGGAATTTCTGCCTGCTTAAATATAAAGGTTAAATAAAAAGGTCTTTTTTAGTATCTTATTTTAAATTTAGGAGTCTTCACTGTCAAGTTGAATCACTCCAATATAGATTTGCACTACATATTATGCTAGATAAATGAATATTTTGTTGGTTTAGCTGAGTTATTTTCAACTGGAGAATCATACCACAAAACAGCCATTTGTGTAAACTAACCAATAAACATTTTCTGTGAGGAAATGTGCCTTTTTCCAAAAGTGTCCTGTTTATATTATTTTCTAATCTGAAGAAAGAAAAGAAATAATTTTCAGATGTTGATTACTTCGCCATAACATATATTCTAAATTCTAAATTTACATAACATATATTCTAAATTCTAAATGTACTATTCTAAATAGTAAAAATGAGTAAATGCTAAACCAAAAATTGAGAAAGTCTCCATTTCTTTTAGTGCAACAATTGTTTGATTTGCACAAAATTTAGCAACATGGTAAGGGTAGAACCAAACATTGAATGATTATATGTTATTTTAAAACAGCACCAGCCTGAAGAAGTGTACTAATGAGCTAGCAGTGCAAAATATTAATCAATTTCCCGTGTGGATATGAAGACCTTTCCTAAGCTGGTAGTAATAATTGAATTGATTTTCCAAGCATTTTTCTTTCATACCCCCAATTATTTGAGATCATCATTCTCGTTTATCCATTACATTTTTCCAACCTGTGCAGTAACTCAACATTATTTATTTAACATGTGCTGAGAATATAATTGTCTAAAACCTATGTATAGAAACTATGAAAATGCTGGATACGTATGTTTTATTTCTTAAGAATCACATTTTTGCCCATCCCCCCTCCAAGTTCCTCTTTATTCCTTTAAAATAACTGTGAGAAAGCGAGTGCTATTTTATCCTGATACCCTATGCTTGAGTTTGATAATAAACATCAATTAAAAGAAACCCCAATGCAGAAAAGTAAGGGCTGAAGCAGCTGTAATACAAATAGACAGTTTGGAAACTATTCAAAGAGAAGGCAAGTCCCAAATTGCTGTTTTCTTAAGGAAGTGATGGAATTAACCCTATTTGGTCTTTTTGCTAGCTGCAACTTGTGGAGATGCAGATAGGTTGACTCTTCTGAGAGAGGCTAGGTCCATTGAGTCAGTTTTCTAGCAGAATTAATAGCCCTCTTTTGCTATAAAATATTGATGCAATAGGTTACTGAATATCAAATTTTATTTTCTAATAGTTTTCCTTTCAAACATGATCTTATTTTACAGCTATTTTTATTTTTGATTTATCCTAATCATAATTTATCCTGATTAAATGCTGGTGAAATTTTAATGATAATTTTTTAGGGGAGGAGAGGAAAGGAATACTGAGAATACTATAACTTCTTGTACTATATACAAATAACTTCCAGGCTTTTTGCATATATACTACAGCAGTTGAGCTGTGTGATTAATAATCTAATTCTCAGATCAAAGTTGTAAGCAAACAAGAAAATGGAAAAGTATCATTTTCTAGTGAATGTGTTGTGAGATTGTTATATACTCATTTTATCAAAAATTAACTAGTAAGACAAATCCATACAACTGCTAGCATGTGTATCCTTTCAAAATATTTTTATATTTTCTACAGCGCTCACTGGCTCTTACTCTCTCACTTCGATTACTGAAATAACTTTAGTCTACTTTTGTTGTTGTTAGTTGCGAAGTCGTGTCTGACCCATCGCGACCCCATGGACAATGTTCCTCCAGGCCTTCCTGTCCTCTACCATCCCCTGGAGTCCATTTAAGCTCACGCCTACTGCTTCAGTGACTCCATCCAGACACCTCATTCTCTGTCGTCCCATTCTTCTTTTGCCCTCAATCTTTCCCAGCATTAGGCTCTTCTTCAGTGAGTCCTTCCTTCTCATTAGATGGCCAAAGTATTTGAGTTTCATCTTCAAGATTTGGCCTTCTAAGGAGTAGTCAGGGTTGATCTCCTCTAGGACTGACCGGTTTGATCGCCTTGCAGTCCAAGGGACTCGCAGGAGTCTTCTCCAGCACTATAGTTCAAAGGCTTCAATTCTTTGGCGCTCTGCTTACATGTTAGGATTTCTGTTTTCCTTGTCTACATGAAATGCAGAGACAGAGTTCAGGCAGAAAGGGCAGTACAGATCAGAGGCAAGATCAAACCAGGTGTCCTCTGAGAAGACTTCTGGAAAGAGTGCCTCTTTTCTTTCATTGCCTTCCCAAGCAGGAAATCTGTTGCTATGCTTAAATTTAAAGTAGCCATGGCCAGTTTCAAATAGAATGCACTCAAATGTTTTAAAGAAAGAATGCTATCAAAGCTTATACATGGCTAAACTCAGCGATCAAAGTGGCTTCATTCTCTAAATTTATATTGAAATGGAACCATATTCACAGGTTTTTTATGGCAAATGCCTTGAGCAAAGATTGAAATGCAACAAACATCATCATTCTTTCCTCAGCAGAGAGACTGGGAATATTCCTGGAGATTTCTCCCTCTTAGACATATTAAAAAATGCTGTGTAGCATCTTAAAGATGCTTTTAACGGTCCTGCCCAAGTGTTTCCTCTAGATGAAAAAGGTAATTTGTCTGTATAAATTGGTAAATTCTTAAATCAATCTCTGTCTTCAGGAATCAACCTATATTCCTCCAAGATATTGAGCTTGTTCCTCATCAGGGCATCCTTATACAGACTCTTTTTATTTAAACTTTTGGGAGGAGAAGGAAAACTCAGCGTCCATTGTGGAGATATCATTTAAGTTCTTGACAGTTCTGACCAGGAAGAAGAGTATGTTTTCACATAACTCCAATGAACCAGAACATCTAAAATTACTACCTGCTTCTTACTTTTTAAATCTATTATCTATGAGGGAGTCCTGCCGGCCGCTTTGAAAGAAGCGGTGGTGAGGCCCCTCCTCAAGAAGCCTTCTCTGGATCCGGCTGTTTTGGCTAACTATCGTCCAGTCTCCAACCTTCGCTTCATTGCGAAGGTTGTTGAGAGTGTGGTGGCGCAACAGCTTCCCCGGTACCTGGATGAAGCTGTCTATCTAGACCCGCTCCAGTCCGGCTTCCGGCCTGGGCACAGCACGGAAACGGCATTGGTCGCATTGGTGGATGATCTCTGGAGGGCCCGGGATAGGGGTTGCTCCTCTATCCTGGTCCTGTTAGACCTCTCAGCGGCTTTTGATACCATCGACCATGGTATCATGTTGCACCGGTTGGCGGGGTTGGGGGTGGGAGGCACCGTTTTGCGGTGGTTCTCCTACCTCTCTGACCGGTCGCAATCTGTGTTGACAGGGGGGCAGCGGTCGACCCCGAGGCACCTTGCTTGTGGGGTGCCACAAGGGTCGGTCCTCTCGCCCCTTCTGTTCAACATTTATGTAAAGCCGCTGGGTGAGATCATCCGTGGCTTCGGGGTGGAGTTCCATCAGTACGCTGATGACACCCAGCTGTACATCTCCACCCCAGGCCACCCCAATGATGCCCTTAAAGTGATGTCCCAGTGCCTGGAGGCCGTGCGGGCCTGGATGGGGAGAAACAGGCTCCAACTCAACCCCTCCAAGACCGAGTGGCTGTGGCTTCCGGCGTCCCGATATAGCCAGCTGACGCCATCGCTGGCTATTGGGGGCGAATCACTCGCCCCCACGGAGAGGGCTCGTAACTTGGGCGTCCTCCTGGACGCACGGCTGTCGTTAGAAGATCATTTGGCGGCCGTAGCCAGGGGGGCTTTTTATCAGGTCCGCCTGATACGCCAGTTGCGCCCCTTTCTAGATCGGGACTCCCTACGCACAGTCACTCAGGCACTCGTCACTTCCCGCCTGGACTACTGCAACGCTCTCTACATGGGGCTCCCCCTGGGGTGCACCCAGAGGCTCCAGCTGGTCCAGAACGCGGCCGCGCGGGGGATTTTGGGGGCGACGAGGCGCTCCCACATGACACCTCTCCTGCGCGAGCTGCACTGGCTCCCGGTGGTCTTCCGGGTGCGCTTCAAGGTGTTGGTGACCACCTTTAAAGCGCTCCATGGCTTAGGGCCGGGGTACTTACGAGACCGCCTTCTGCCACCAATAGCCTCCCACCGGCCAGTACGCTCCCACAGAGTGGGCCTCCTCAGGGTGCCGTCCGCCAGACAATGTCGGCTGGCGACCCCCAGGGGGAGAGCCTTCTCTGTGGCGGCGCCCACCCTCTGGAACAACCTCCCCCCAGAGCTACGTACAATAACAGACCTCCGGATTTTTCGTCGGGCCCTAAAAACCCATTTATTTCAATTAGCTGGGCTGGCTTGAGTCAAATTTTAAACGGATTTTAAATTGGAATGTTTTAATTACGGCCAAAATTATTTAATTATTTTAAACAGATTTTAGATTTTGTATGTTTTGTATGTATGTCTTGTTTTTACTTTGGCTGTTCACCGCCCTGAGTCCTACATTGGAGAAGGGCGGTATAGAAATTTAAACAAATAAAATAAATAAATAAATATTAGAAACCTTGAATATAATTCTCATTCCAAAATATAGGCAGGACTTAGGCAAAATATAAGTTAGATTTAATAATGTTTCTTTCCAGATACTTGTAGTACAGTATCAAAATGTAAAATTTCAGCATCGGAGGAATTGTACCTATCAATAAGAGTGAAGTTATTGTCAAGCAAATTGGACACTAGTGTTCAAATATGTCATTTACATCATGCTCTAAATTAGATTTTTAAAAGAAATTATGTTGAAAGAAATATATGGGTAACATAACTGCTGCAAGAGGAAAGTAGCTAATCTTTCTACTGTTCTGAGGTCTGTGCAGTTTAATGATGTCATTTTCTCCTTCAGGTATACTTGAGTCTCTAGACACATAGTTTTATTATTGTAATTTAAATTAATGTATCAGGTTTGCCTCTAAGGAATTAACAGCAATTAGAATAAAGAACATTACTTTGCAATTCCATATCTTTCCAAAAATACTCTGCAATTAATGGCTTTATTAAAAATCAAATCACTGCATAAATTCTTGGCCCAGGTTTCAATAAGTAAAAAACAAGTCTAGTTTCAATATTTCTTCAAAATCTTTAAATTTGTATTGAATAATCAATAATAGCATAGTGAACTTCAGTTATGTAATTTTATAGGAAAATGGATTAAAAATGGGAAACAGTTTAGTTCACACTCAGATTCAAGACTGAAAATGTCCATTGTAGAAGGTTAATGAAGCTCATGTGAGTTGGCTGTTTTAAGTTTCTTAAAATA